TCTAGCTCAAATTCAACACAACAAGCTGATAATCATCCTGAATTTGTATCAATTCACAAGTGGAGTGTAACTTTTGATAGAACACTTGTGAAAGGACCACTGAGATTCATTTTCAATTCGTTTGGGTGAGTTGAGAAATGCAAGAAATTGTTCGGAGGAGAACCTTTATCGGCCATCTTCTGATTCGTTCGAGGGTTGTGCCAGAGAGTGATTCAGATTCCAATCTGAAGAGAATCGTTCCAACTTCTGGGATTATTTTATTGATGCTAGGATTTTTTGTGAATTCGAAGAAACGATTACTGTTTCTGTCAAAATTTCAGGAAAACAACTTAGTTGCTCAGTGGATAGTGGTATGAGGCAGACTGTGATAGGAAGAATTTTGCAACTTGGTGTAGTTCGTCGTCCCAAGAGACCATGGTCAAGCCTGGTTCTCATTGTAGAAGAGTACAATGGTGACCCAATATTTAGTTTCGACGGTAGCAAGCTAAACTTGCGTTACTAAAAAGTGTGCCTTCACCATTCTTTGACCATATAGTCAGGAAATTGTGCGGAACTCAATACTTGACATGAATTGATCTCCGCGTTTTGGCAGGTGCCCTCAGATGATTATTCTTGTGACAAAATTGCTTTCATTGTACAAGGTCGTGGACTGAATGTGTAATGATGCCATTCGAGCTTTGTAACGCTGCCGAGACTCAGCAAAAAATAATTTGAAGCATCCTAGGACCAGAACTTGACCCACTGTGTTCCGTTCATTCAGACTATGTTATTATTTCCACTCCGAGTTGAGAGAAGCATGGAAGAGATCATTGGACATAGCCCCCATGAAGAAATAACCGTAGACACGTGTTTCGAGCTCTTGGCCCTCATCAGTACGGTGAAAAAGTGTGCAATAGGTAGGCGACACTTGGTGGAAAATGAACCAACAAATCAACGGAGTCAACAAACAGAAGCCAACCGCACATTAAATTTGTGGTTTTGATCAGCAGACCCTGAGGTCTCAGGAAAACTGCTAACGTAACCATGGAGGCAGCCATAGCTACCTGCGTGACATCCGTGTCTAGGAGTAGAAACAATGAAATAAAAGTAATATCGAGGGAACTGTAAAAAGACAAGGAAGAGATTATTGGACATAGCCCTCATGAGGCAACCGGTTCCTCATCAGTACGGTGAAAAAGTGTGCAACAGGTAGGCAACACTTGGTGAGAAATAAACAACAAATCAACAGAGTCAACAAACAGAAGCCAGCCTTGGTGACGTTAGCAGTTTACCTGACACCTCAGAGTCTGCTGACCGTAACCACAAATGTGCGGCTGGCTTCTGTTTGTTGACTCCGTTGATTTGTTGTTCCTTTTTCCAGCAAGTGTTGCCTACCTGTTGCACACTTTTTCACCGTACTGATGAGGGCCGAAAGCCCGAAACACGTGTATACGGTTATTTCTTCATGAGGGCTATGTCCAGCAATCTCTTCCTTGTCTCGTTACAGTTTTCTCGATATCACTTTCATTTTATTGTTTTTTCAGAAAAGCATCTCAGAACTCTGACATCTGTTTCTGGATGACTTCGTGACGCTGAACTTAACGTCGATCTGGAGAAGTGTTCTTTTTGTAGACCCACATCGACCCATTCACGTCTATCGCCCTTTCTAGAAGACTTCAAAACGGAACCTGTATTTTCCTGATCCAGCTGACGGTTTGAATATGAGGCTAGTGTCACATTATATTCAGATGACATCCTGAACAAGTTCAATCTCGATCGATTGGACTTCGTTGAATTCAGAATCTGAAGTGACGGTTAAAGAACTTTGTGCTCCTAGTGATTTTGCGATGAGTGACCTAAGGTAAGACATGTTGAAAGTCGTTGTTTTTCTTGCTTTCGTTCTGATTATCTCTGACAAATCACCTAATTCATTCACTTCTTTCATTTGTGGTTATGTTTCACACTTATTGATTAATCCAGGGGCATTCAAATGATCGAGTCCTATCAGGAGGACGGTGATATTATATGCTACTATGCGGTTCTTCAATTCAGGTATTGGAGTAGACCACTAACCACAGCAGAATTCTTAGAGAAATAAGAGATTGAATCTGGGTCGGATATTCATTCAGGCATTATAATTCTTCCATTCCAAATACCAACGGGAATTGCGATACCTATGAAGATTCTTGGGCGGGAGACGATAAAGCTTCAGATGATTGATCCGAAGTGCATCTGAGGGCTCCTGCGACAATTGAATTTGACAAGTTCCAGCTTTCGGATTCCAATGGTCGTTCATGAAAGACAGCTACCCGGAGAAGTAGGAGCGCTCTATTCTGATGAAATGACATAACTTCATGCGGTAGAGAATTCAAGTTCAGGATTGGCGAGTTTGCCTGTCATGGCAAACAAACCAGTCTGATAGCTGTTTGGTCTGACCAGATTAGCTGGAGGTATACTTCATGGTTTTTACTGTCGTGATAGATGTGAGTCTATCAATCAACTCTCATTCAACAAGCCTTCTTTTGCACAAACTGATGGAATTCCTACTCTCAATATGCCAACTTCAATTCACAATATGCTTCCAAGTAGGTATTTTTCATCAACATAATCACAAAGGACATTGTGTTACTATGTTCTTGATAACTGGATATTTTCAGTACCCCAGTTATTGGTAACAGCGTTTCAGCAGGTATTCAATATCCAGATGCAACTTGTGAAGGATTTCATTACATGATGTTATTTTGAGTCGACAATTCAACACTCGCGACTAGCTGACTAGGCCTCCAACCTGATTCTTTGTTTCAAATCTGCACGGCCCTCAGCGTAGAATTCATTTACACCTGATGAATCATCGGCATTAGGAAACGCTTTGAGCATTCAGCCTAGTTCACGCCACATTAGATATCCTGAATTTTAACGCATGTCCGAATCCGAGATGTCAAATCTCCGCCCAATCAAATAGGTTTTTTCAAATGGAGATGATGGACGCCGTTCCACAACTTCAGGCAAGTATAACATATATTATTCTAATGAATCATGATGAAATATCAATTCAATCATAGCAGAATAGCTTGAAAACCCTATCACAATAATATATATCTAGGCCTTTTACCTTGCCCATTTCCTTGTCATCTTGTTCTTATGGTTATGCCATGATTGAATATGCAAAAGTGATTATATCATTTTGAGCCATCGATAATAGTTATTTTTTGTTCAACTCATGAATTATTGTTGATGAGACAATTTTCATTATCCTACCGTATTCCTCCGGATTTTAAATCGCACCATTATTCAAAATGTTCGTCTTCCCGAACTGATGCTGGAGAGATATTCATGACTACCTAATAGATTATGTTACCTTCAACCTTTTCATTGCGGGAACCGGAAAAACCCGCGAAAAGTTTGTACACCAAATACGCGGGAGACGGCTTTTCACGCACGTGTTTTTAACGCATTCATTGCGGGTGCCCGGCGTTCCGGTCTATGTATATTGATATGTCAAGATGCAACTGAACATGTCCCAACAGGATTTGAAGATTGTGGATGCGGTTTTCATTTTATTCAACATTTCAGTATCCAAGTAGTAGCTGCATCAGTTGGTTGGTTTTCATTTGTTCCAAGTGAATTTGAACCACGATGGCTCGAAAATATCAAAATGACGATCAAATTGTAGAGTTGTTGTATGCTGGAAGAAACTACATTCTGCTTTGCGCCTTGTGATGGACCACTGTGTATTATATAATGTTTTGAAAGGTATCACACTGTCAAAAATTATCAAATTCCATTTCATATATGGAAATATTTTAAATTCATTATAAATGTAGGCTATCGCATTATGACATTTTATTTCAAATAGAGACTATTCAAAAACAAATTACTTTGGGTTGAAATATGTAAAAAAATCGCATTCACAAGTTATGCTGCGGTTGCGGGAGACGGGTGTACACGTCCGTACCTGACTTGCGTATACCGGGAGACGGGCGTTCCTTTAACGCTAAAATTTCCCCGTTTTGAGAGCACGACTATCAGAATTTTACCTGCAATGAAAGGTTTGAACTCAAACCACTCTAACTTGCTGAAAATATCTGGTAGTGGCTATATTACATTGAGAATAATGACCTATGGCCTACGGCTCATGCTGCAAACCTCATTCTCATGGAAAATCACTATTATTCCGTGCTAGTTAAACAATATAGTATGATTTTTTATATCAATTTCGATTGTTAACGTGATGGGAAGAGAAGCATCCACGTCTGATTCGTACTTCTATCACTTCCTATTCGATATTATCTCCTCTTGTGAGGAAAGGAATATCAGTGCTGATAATTCATTCCATAGGACCTTATATCTTTTTCTGAGTTCATAAAACATCTTGAGGACCATGTTGTCATTCATTCATAACTAAGAAGCCTGAGTGAGTCGTATAATTGGGATCTCTTCTGATACTGACTGACTGTGACTAAAGAAGATTGTTCGAAAGAATAACTGCCAAAATTATTCATAATTTCAATGATAAATGCAGATAGGTATACTAGTTATATTGTGAAACTGCGGGAGTGAATACTACGTAAAGGTAAATGTAATTACTGCTGGGTATCATCATTATATGCATGATTCTGAAACAACTCCTGTTGCATTGACTATCATGTTCTGCCTTCTCCTACTTCATTTTCAGTGTCTATGTCCTATTTTTTTGCTTCGGAATTTCATGAATAATGAACTGAAAGTGTGAAATTTCTTCATGGGTCGTGCTACCTACTTTTTCATTTTGGATAAGTATATATTCAACACGCCTCATGAATTCTATTTTTTTTTGTCTCAATTAATGAAATGATATCGACGATATCGATAACATAGATAATCGAAAACAACGATGAATCGCTAATATTTATGAATCAATAAGATCGATGAATCGATTATATCGTGGAATCGATGATATCGAAACATTGAGCACAGGCATAACATCTACGAATCGATAATATCGATACGATGTCGATCGAGATTCATATCAAGAATCGTACCTAATCTCAATCTGGCCTGCAGTGATGCATCACTTCTTGTATCGAATACTTCAGTACGGAGTTCGAAAATATATTCATCACCAGGTATCAGTTCATTGATCAATGAACGAGGCTGCACGTAATGGAATTCTTTCCAGATATAACTGGTTTCAGCTTTTAATTTCAGATAATATCCAGTAGCCAGTGACTCATTTGGTGCTTTCCAATCGACTTCGATCGCTTTCTCATCAATTTGCATGATTTTCAGTTCCTCTGGAGGTTTTGGACCTGAAATACAGTAGGATTTGATCAGATAATACCCTACTGAAAGATAATGTAGTATACATTGTATTCAACCAGAAGCTATGATGATTTGTGATTTACGTTTGTGTGAATCGATACTACGATGATAAATTCACAATAATTCGAAATATTCCCAAAACTGATTGGTATCATAAAAGGTGTTAGTTACTATTGTCAAACATTGAATTATCATTGTTTATCTTCATCCATAGGATCCGACCACTAGCTAACAGCTAGTAACAGCACATTCCAGATTTTATGAATGTTATAGATATTTGAATATACAGTATATTTCAAACATTGTGTGTATTATTAACAGCTGGTAAGGTAAACCAATTTTTTCTAGGAATTTCATAACAGATTTTGTTCACATGATTATCACTTCCGCGAGTTTAAGTGAAAATCAAAATCAGTTTCTCTGGTATTCGAATGTCGAGACATGTCGTTGAAATATGGTCTAGACTCTAGACGAATTCACATTTGACTACCATGTGGTTATTATGAATCAAAAACTCTACCACTGAAGACCGAATTTGGAATAGTTTTTCACATATTACGACAAATAATCATGGAGCACATATATATTTACCTCATCTCTGTCTACATCTGCTGATATATTTATTCTTTGATTGCATTGATTATCCGAATGAGATTGGTAAATATCATATTTGAGGAGCCTGCAGTAAAAAAAAAACAATCTGCAATTTCCAAATATAAGTTTCGGATGTGCTCTGTGGATGAATGAGTTTTTCCTCTTGTTTTGTGCGACAACTAGATTCTCAATTTTTCTCAGTTCCAACTTTGCCTAATACGGGTTGGCTATTTGAAAACAAGAGAGATTTTCTGGAGTTCGACAAAACTAGATTATAAAAGAACACTGAAATAAGTCCTCATTATTTTGGAGGATGAAAACGTTCTGAAATATTTCCAGCGCGAAAGGGAGCAACGACTCCGTTATTTCAAATAGAACACCCTCTGTATTTCATTGCATTTTCAGATTGTTTCAGACAATTTGATCTCATCTTTGTATCATGCTTCGGTTGTTGCGAGAATCATCAGAGAGATACAAGGTGTTCAAAATCGAAATTTTCCAACTGCAGGATTTTCAAAACTATCCATTATTGCTCAAAATGAGTCACATGTCCCTTTTCCCAATTTTGATTGAATCCCTACTGACATCATATCGGAACAAATTTTGAGTAGTTCAAGATTCAGAATTCTGATTACAATGTATATGTTTCATGTCACTCGATAGTAAATCAAAAGTTGAGAAAGGGATATGAGAGCCGTTCTGGCCAATGATAAAAAGTTTCGATACAATGAAGTATGAAATTGAAAAATCTCGATTCGGAACACCCGTTATCTCTGTTATCATTCTCACTGGACACGAAGTGTTTTGCATGAGGAATTCACAAATGCAGTGAAATGAAGTACGCGTGTAAAATACAACTGAATTTTGAGTTGGATTGCTGAAGTCATATCGTCGATTCATTATGATTCCTGGGCCCTTCGGATGTCACAGTACGCAATGGTGAAGGTTTTTTCTATCAATGATCCTGATTCATTCTCTCGGAATTCGTTGGACTATAACTAGACTTGAGCAGAATTGGCAGGGCGCACATATCATAAGGGCTCTGGGAATCCGTGGTGAAGTTCTTTCGAATGTTCCTGCAGGAATGTCAACTCCATCTTGCGATGTTACGCTCTAGATACCATTAAGAGTGAAACTAATAAGATATCAGATGTAATATCATGAATGGCTCGCAATACTATCGATAGAAATCTAACCACACGCAACACCACATGTCCGCAGGACGAGGGGTGCACCCCAAAGCAATGTGATCGAGTTCATGATTTATGACAGTATTTCATTATATCTAATGTTTGCGTGACAACGTGGTCTAATTGGCTCGAAAGTAAGAAGCAGGGTACTATCGAGGCACACCATACTGATTGGTTCTTATATTCCAGGAAATGTGAATAAAATCATTCCAGACTGCATCATCGAGATATCAGAAAGAACAGGAACAATCAAGAAAATCCATTCGTACTTATTTTCATTGAGCATTGCATGCTGCTGTGTAATTTTTTCGACGGAGTTCCTTTCTGGCAAGAACATATTTTGTTCTAGTCACGTGAAGAGTTCTTGCGAATGGAGTATGTATTTTTGTGTTCCTAGTGAGATGAGCCTGAATGATTCAGCAGCACAATATAATGGATCTACTATGTTGTGAAAGTGAAAATATCATACGTGAATTGTCAAAATCTTTTGTACTGTGTTTCCATACAAGGAATGAAGGTGCTCGACCAGATAATTGAATGAGAAGTGAGTAGATGGTAAAGCCAAGTGTGTGGTCGAATTAACCTATTGGTGCTCGAGAAAAGTGCATAATCATTGGTGAGGGATAAATCGAGTATGCTGCTCTGAATACAAAATGATACGTGTCAAAACAAAAATAATTTCACCGATTGAACTAATATGACTAGATGCACGGTATATATTGCAACAAGGGTATTCAACTTCTTTCTCATCAGTGGAGTCACCTCCCTTGTGAACTGAAGATCATGAGGATATTTATATTCATATAAGAAAATTGATATCCGTTCGTTGCAGAATCTACCGGGTATTGTGTCACATCGGTTCAATCGGCAGAATCATTCACGTTTTGACACGTTTTTCCGTATCCTCAGAGCAACATACTTGATTTATTTCTCACCAATGATTCAGCATCTTCCTCGAGCACCACTAGATAAATTCGATCTCTCACTTGGCTCCACCGTCTTCTTCTTTCTCAGTGAATTATCTGGTCCAGCACATCCACTTTTATTTTTATATCAAAATATTGGAGATTCTGACGATTTCCTCAATTTTTTTTTCGACTCACCTCAACATAGTAGTTTCTCCATATTGTGCAAGAAGCTCATCCTGGAAACTCATGATGCGAAGTCGAGGTGAGTATCAGATACCTGGTAGCACGAATCAAGTAATTACTCTCTCCTCTATAGGGCTATAAGATTTTGGAAACAAAAACAATTATCAGTTTCATTTGTAAATTGTGTTCAATCACCAGTTTGCCACCGCTTAAATAGTTGATGCGCATTCGAGCGCAATTCAAAGTACTTTCTACCTACTGTTTTCCGTGTTGACGCATCATCAAAAGAATGAATGAAGCAACTAGAAAACGGCACTGATGAAATCTCTATATGGATTATTCGGTGTATCGATCAGAATGATCTCAGAATATAACGCTTCATGATTTGTCGACATGTATTGTCATAGGTCGATTAATTTTTCGCTACTTGTTAGAATCGAGATTTGTCTTCATGAGACCATGAGGAATGTATCCACAAAGTATTTTATACGAACAATCAAATGCTATACTCACTCACTACATATCGTAGTCTCAATGGCTCGCTCCTGGTTTTACGACAAATTGCTTTGATCTCGATTGTGTATGAAGCCCCAGGAAAAATATTGGATATGAGAGCCGAATGTTTCCAAATTGTTCGATTCTCTTTTTGTTCTCGAACATTACTCTTCCACTTGATCTCGAACTGCTCATATGGAGATTTCCACTCGACACTCATACTATCATCCTCGACGAATATGTTGCCTTTGGTAGGTGGAATGGGCTGTGCAATGAAGTGTAGGGTCCGATTTTCAGAACGCATTTTGCCAGAGAGAACAGTTACTACCACCGTGTTATTAGAACATGGAGCCAAATCGGTAATGAGCAATTTCTGGCTTACTTCAAACGAACATGTTTGATTCAGATCTCTTTCGTGTTTGAAACAAACAAAATACCGATCCTGAATACTCACAGGGTTGGGTTCCCAATTTATCCAGATCATGCGATTATCTTCACCACTCATTCCAAGGAACATAACTGGAAGTGGTTCTGGAAAATAAGATGCATAAGAAGGATCATATATCTCATAATTGAATTGTCAAGTATCAGCAGAATTGCTCCAAGAGAGCTCTGATATTCGATGACCAAAAATTCTTTACCCCAAATAACACCACCGTAAGCATAAAGAAGAATGTATCGTCGGTTTTCACAATCCACCCTTCGACCAACAGTGAGGAAACATGCTTGCACAATTCGCAGGAATGGTTGATTTAATTCTATGGCATGAATGTATTTGAGAAATACTCAAGTATTGACCAGTTTGATTGAACAGATCGGACGACAGGTTGACTCACGGTCAATTGTAGGTGAGACGTTGATGAAGAACACGACCAAGAATTTTTATGAGAATCTATTTCATGTTCCACGACTGTTTCATCGATCTGGAATATTCCCGAGATTGCGACGTTGCCGCTTTCATCAAAAGTCCAAGCAACTATCTTCTCAATTGGAACACCGGTATACTAATAAATGAGCACACTCGCCTTCTCATTTCAATGCATTCGTATTGATAACTCCCTATATCTCTATCTCTATAGGCTCCTAAGTTGAAAAATATTTTCCATTGAATATGGTTCAGAATATAGCATTTATTGATATCGAATAAATCATGTCTCTCAACTCATAAATAGTTCATACTTCACTGGTAGTTGTTACAGACTTGTTGTATTCAATACACACAGAAAATTTGCCTCCATGTCATATTCAGCATGCTGAAATCATTATTATATCCGTTGTTAATAAAAATTGTCTGATATTGCATTTTCTCCAAATTCATATCAGACTATAAATTATAATTGAAATATAAATGAAAATACTACAATGGAACATAGCATGTACCTATACTCGAATCATTGTTTAGAATTGATAACACCGTGTCTTGTGAAAAATATAATATTTTCGAGAGGTTGATTTTGAGAAACAATGAAAATATCAAACTCATGACAGTTTGGTGACATTCATGGAGAATTCATCGATATTTGATTGACATTGTTTGAAAGAATCTCTCTGGATAAATGCAAATATCGATTATTCAAATGAAGTTCCTATGGGAATATTGATAATGCACAGACAATGTGATTAATTCATTGCCCCACTTGCAGTAAATGTAACCAAATATGATTTCCATCAAGTAACGACCGAGTCAATGCGAAAAAGTCACCAAATATTTATAGATCAACACCAATGAATTAAAGGAAGATTTTAGGATAACATAATAATTTCATCAAGTAAGACTCAAGTATCTAAGGAACGATCAAAAACCAGATTATCTCGCATATATATGTGACAAGCTAGATTCTATGTAAACGTACAGAAAATGAGAAAAGTAGGCAAAACAGAAGTGACGAAGATATATGTTGATTTCGAGTAGCCATGGATATAACACACTCATAAATGTCAGGTAACATTTATGAATAATCTCCCAGGATGAACATAAATATCGATTATTCTGATGGAGTTCTTATGAAATGATTTATAATCTACAGACAATGTGATCAAATCATTGTCAGAACCTGCAGAAAATGTGATTAATTATATCCTGGATCAACACCAATGAACAAGGAGAAATCTTCAAGATTACAAAATGATTTTATCAACTATGACTCAAGTTTCTATGGATGATCAATTAAATAACAGAATGGGAAAAACCAGAAGTGAGTAAGGGTCATCAATCAAAATATCATATTTTCACGGCGTGAGATCAGGTGATCTTGTTGACCAGTTCCATTACCCAAAACGCCCAAACGAAGGATCGTTGAACATTTCATGAAGTCCCTTGGTGAACTCCTGGGTGAAATGAGCTCGCGCTTTGTCTAGTGGAAACCATAAATCTCTATATTCCTCTGTCCTTCCACAGCCCTCATTAGGTGGATATATTCTTCAGCATTTTTCGAGCACATCGCTCGTATGTTATGACTTGTCCGCATATTTGTTGAATATTTCGGAACCTCCTGGATATGTTTTGAAGAGCCTTCGCAAAAATGCACTGTTCTATTCGAAGTATTCTGCTTTGAGAGTTGGAACTTGAATAAAATTATAAGGATGCATTCAGTGATTTCCCAAAATTCTTCGAACTGAAGCATGTGATTCGACAAGATATTTATCTGCACTAAGAATGAAAGCTTCTGGATATGCATAGGAATATGACGAAATGCAAAACATCAACAATATTTCTTCATTGGAAGTAATAGGTTCTGGTAGTTTCTGAGGCACGTTCAACTTTGAGCCATACTCGATGGAACTATCTTGTTATATTACACTCCTATTTCTCGATCAATGGTGTTCATTTGGGATATTCTCGATCAAATCGTCGGCAAGTTCTGGCAATAATTTGAACATTGTCCAAGCATTTGTATTGTTTCCATTCTCGAAGATATTTCCGAATACTTTTGATAATAATTATTGATGGATGAGTCATGAACAATCCTATATCTTCATGAGTTTGATATTTCTATGGCTAGTTGAGAGTGAATTCTCTGCAAAAAATCATTTATCTCACAGAATCTGGCTTCAAGAACAGAACTTGATTTTTCAGTTTCAGAGACATGCTTATTGCTATCTCCAAAAACGTCTAATTTACCATCGAACGTCATTCAGCCTGTATAGCTCAGTTCAATAATGGAACCAGGAAAATTCAGAATATGTGTATCGATTCATCATTTGCAAAGTGAAGGGGAATGGAGAAGTTGCAGCAGAGTTCACCTCATCTTATAGTAGGAATCATACTCCCTAAGCCTCACGGGCAAAAACTTCTAAAACACTTTTTTTTCAGGCACAGAGAAATGCTCTCAGTGCCTGTCGAGTAGTTTTGTGTACGAAAATATAGCAGTTACTTCCCGCATTTTTGAAATCTCGTCAAATGGTGCCTCTAGAATGAAGCAATTATGACTCTGATTTTCCTGCTCTGTTCTTGATAAAATGAATGAAATGAAACGGAAAACAAATTACCTTTCTCAGAACCTACCAAGTTATAACGTTCTTCAGATTTTTTTGCATAATGAACAGTTTTTTGTGAATGGGTTTTGAAAATCTTCGAATGACATGAAATCATTCGTATCATCATATGTTCTTCTGGAAATATTTCGATAGGGCAGAATACGAGGCAAAATATACAGGGTGTAAATTTGAAAACTTCCAATGCGAATATCTCACGAAAGAAAAAAGTTAGAAAACGCCGTTTGGCAAAAATGCCTCAAATAAACAGTCTTAGTCAGTAGTATTCACCTGTACAAAACTTTTTTCTCACCCACTACAGGGTGTACGAAAAATATGAAGTCGAATAAAATAAAATGAATTGTGTTGAAACGATATTTTATTTGATCAGATGTTGCATTTTATTTTATTCGACTTTATGTTATTCGTTCATCCTGTAGTGGGTGGAAAATAGGTCTTGTACAGGTGAATACTACTGACTGAGACCGTTGATTTGAGGTATCACAAAAGAGGTAGTGCCATTTGACATTTCAAAGATGGAGTGTGTCGCGCCGACGGGGTGACTCATTTCTTTACTGAAGTATGGTGGTTCTAGTTCCTTCTAACTCTGTAGCATTCGTGCCAAATGGCGTTTTCCTAACTTTTTTATTTAGCGAGATATTCGCATTGGACGTTTTCAAATCTAGACCCTCGACTTTATGTTTTTCGTACACCCTGTAGTGAGTGGGAAAAAAGTCTTGTACAGGTGCATACTACTGACTAGGACCGTTCATTTGAGGTATCACCATAGTGGTATCACAAAAGAGATAGTGCCATTTGACATTTCAAAGTTGGGGTGTGTCGCGCTGTCAGGGTCACCCATGCCTTCACTGAAATATGGTGGTTCTAGTTCTACCTAACACTTCAGCATTTGTGCCAAGCGGCGTTTTTCTAACTCCTTCATTTCGCGAGATATTCGCATTGAAAGTTTTTGAAATTGAAACCCTGTATATTTTATCGATGTATAACATGTATTGAAAATGTTGCATTATCGGTTGTGCCATCGTGGAAACGAGAACAAATTCATATTTCTTGCTCATTCTGCAATCGATTCAATGAATATCATATTCAGATATTAACAAATCGTGAGAATGCTATCAAAATCTGCTGAAGCGTTTGGTTGATATCGAAAGAAAATCTGTTGTTTGGAAGAACACGAAAATATAATATATGTGTACATATAATGCTGATGAATTTTTGTCCTATCAAATCATTCGGAAACTATAATCATTATCATATACCTATTAGTGCACGAATAACGGCCAATGCTGTCACTTCTAAATCATGCGAGATCGGATTCTGGAAATTGGTGGGTAGCAAGAATACCAAGTTGCTCATCAGTTGACTCAACCATTTTGTTTTTATCCCTTTCGATTCCACTGGAAATGACCCCAATACCCGATTCTTGAATGAACAACAGGAATTTTATATCATAATCGGTTGGGGCTCATCATAACAAATTCAACGATACCTGGTTTGAAAGGGTTATTCTAAAAGAGAAACGATGATATTTTCGTTCTAAATTTTTGTATGCTCAATGATTCAATGAATGTGACAGAACAATAAGTTTCAATATTGCGAACGCATGAATCTTCGGGATTGTTCAAAATAACCCTATTAAACCCAGTATCGTTGGATTCGTCATGATTAGAGTCCCTGTATATACTTTAGACAAGAGTCCGGACACAACTATAGATCTGTTGTTTTCTGTTTTTAAAAAATGCATTGATGATTGAATAAAGGAATAAGACATATATATCGAGCTCTGTCTTTTCAATTCCCCTAGTATCAATGATTGTCAGAAACAATTTTGAGGGTTAGATTATTTGTCAAACCGTTCATAGCCGTAGGTAGAAGTGAGAAATAGGGCTATTTCAACTAGAATAACAATTAGATTTTCAAATAATGAACAACAGGGTGTTCAAATTTCGAATCGATAATTTTCGTAATCAATTCTGAGATGGCTATTGCAAATTTTCGTCATCAGATATTTCTTTTTTCCATTAGATATAAGAAAGATAATTTAAGTGTTCTACGTGGTATCACATATAGCCAAGAAAATATAGTTGTTTTTTTTTGGGATATAAAAAAATAGAAGATATATAATAATTGTTTCAATATAATTTCAATTGTGTCGGTTTCCCACCTCTTCCTGCAGTCTACATTCACCAGTATATTTTTTAATTTAATCTGAATTAAAAACACCGTGGACAGATGACATAGCACATTGCAATTTCCCTAAATCTTCTAGTTTTGATTTCAAACTTTCAATTTCTCTCCGCATCATCTTATTCTCATTTCCTTTCTCTGCGATCGTATTATTCAGTAATTCCCAATACGATGACGACGGGACTCTCTTTTTGAAGAGATTGACGGCACAGCAGACACTTTCAATTTGGAATCCATTAGCTTGAAAGAATCTCTATCAAAATGGGCCAAAAATTCATCTTTTTTGTACTGTTTTCAGAAGTGAATTCGATTATTCACCTCACATATTGCGGATTTCTTGAAATTAATTTTCCATTCTGGACGTTTCATTGCATTCTTCCATGACATTATCTTTAAAGGATCATTCGGAAAATGGAATAACTCGAATCCCTTTTCTTATGAATCATCGCAATAATGTACGCAGCAGGACATTGAAATAATTTAAAATGCAAAATTTTGGCGGTCATAAAATTTCAGAATGACAGTGACAGAAATTCGAAATAATTAAAAAAAGTGGGCGAGACGACTATGGTGTTTCGTCACATTGTCAGGTGGGCAAACCAAATGAAACAAAATATTAAAAACCCCAACGGCTGTCAGTTTTGTGTCCGGATTCTTGTCTAAAGTATATACAGGGACTCTAGTCATGATTATTTCTAACCGATTATTGAATGAAATACAGGATGTCTCCTTCAAATATCGATAGTTAGGGTCGTTTTCGCTGAATCAAGGAGTGATACAACAAGAATTGTTTTGCCAATGAATTAGCATATTGGTATAATTGACTCTCACCAATTTTCGAAATCCTATCTCGGATGATCCAGCAGTCGCAGCACTTATCGTTGTTTCTTGCACTTCTCAGTGAGAAATCACATATTCTGTGATATTATTGACCAGGAAAGTTCGTTTTGTTCGATATTCGAACAAACGTTATGGATTCAATATCTGTTTGTATTAGTCATGAAACTAGTTATTTTCTGTTTAAAATTTTAAAAAAAATTTCTGATTTTTGTTCAAGAAACTCATTTCCAATCAAGGAGTCATCTGGACAACAGTTCAACAGGGTATACAGGGTGATCCAGGTTTCAGAGTAAAAACTGAAGTGGATGATAAATCTCATCACTTTATATAAGGAAGATCATATAAATATTAGTCCGACCTTGATGAGTAGGTGAAGAGGGTGAAATTTCGATCATTTCTATCTATAAATTGAAATCTAGCTCTCTCCTGAAGATATTCATCTGAAATTTTGTGAAATTGATACTGTCTGGAAAATTAAAATCGTGAGCATTCTGAGGGTTTTTTGATCCACAGGGAAATACGTTTTTGGGGTTTAGAGGCTACTTCATTTTCCCTAAACTTTTTTGTACTACGCCTCTGACATCTCACAATTACTAAATAGAATGGATCGTTCGATTTTCTTTTCATCAACCAAAGAACAATTATCACAAATCTGTTGATCCTATGTGATCTGTTCCTCCTGACGAGAGTGTAACCCTGCATTAATGATGTTCTGTCGTTCATATTATGGGATCTGTGTGTTTTTGTCGCCTTCCTGCTACACAAATATAATTGTTTCCTGGGACTCAAATATTTTCATCAAATATATTTTCATAATTTGAATCATGCTGCTATCGGTGGAAAGGAAGTATAAATGACTTACTCAGTGTGACATTTGCTTCAACTGGCCATGAAGACAAATTTCCAGAAACTGTGGATATCTTCATGAGATAACTCTCACCAGGAGTCAGTTCATCAAACTTCCAGGATCTGGTTCCATTTTTCCTGATGGGCACTTCTGTGGGGGATTTCCTTGAAGAAGTGGGATGAATGAGTTGAACGTGATATCCATCAAAAACACTAAAAATCATTAAAAGTTCAGTCAGGTGTCAGATTCATTGATAATAATAATAATAATAATAATTAGGATAATAATGATGATTATGGAAAGAATGATGATTATGATAATAATAATAATGATAGCTTCATTGTTCCTTTGAACAGAGTTTCACAGCAAGGATCAGGATTTTGAACTATGAATCTGCAAGAGAGAGGCAAAAAAATGTATAAACTAAAAACACGAGAACTATAAATCAAGGTTAGTCGAACTATTCCTATTCAAACTTTTTCATTCAGAATTGATCACCTGAGTTTGGGAATATTCCATATACAGGGTATCCTACCGAAGTCGGCGGAGTACGATATTATGGAAGCCATAAACATAACAGCTTTGGCGAAAAAAATCTATCGAAGAAATTTCAAGTTAATGTATCTTTTTCTGTATCTTCTATATATTTTATACAAATTCGATCAATTTGGCCTCGTTTGAAACATAATCTCACACTAATGTGAAGAATGACTTCGTTTACGGTCGCTAGTTTATACCAGGTCGTTTACTGACTATTCGATTTTTTCGGATCTTCCTGAAAAATCACAATACATGTTTGCATCATCGATCTTGAATAGCTACGATTCGGTGACAGCCGTGGATCGATATCTTCGTTTGTCTTCAATTTAGATCAAAATCATTTCGTCCATAGCATCTTCAGTGAGCAGGAAAATGATCAATTATTTTATCTTAACTATTTGCGTTAGTGGTTAGGTTATCACTGAATTCCTCAACCTTTTGTTACATTCGTGCACTGATTCATTATTCGAATGCCTCCGACCTACATTGAATAAAAAATGAACAGTCTATCGTTGATTGAATTGCAATATCGAAATAGTTATTTATGTCACATGTCACGTGAGATATATTTTCTAATCTTGATGAAATAGTAATTCATTATACATGGAAGAAAAGTAGTGAATTCAAGCTCCGTGAGCTGAAATCTAATATTTTTCCTGTGTATAATACACAATATCTCTTTGTGACAGAAGAAAGGACGAATCAATATTGAGAAGATATCACATTATTTTGGAATCTGAAGATTATCGACGTAAAATTTTGAGTTTTTAACAGTAGGGACATTTGCGTTGTGGGCATTTTCATCATTTTTCTGGAGTAATCAAATCAAATATCTGATGTCACTACTGTCAGTCTAATTCTGTGATTCGATTTAAAAAAATTGCGGTATTTAGTGGTTGTTTAGTGATATACGTAACCACGAAGTCAAATGGAAGATAAAAGGACTTGCAGTTCTTTCTTGGAGACGGTATCATTGACTCATTTTTTGGAACTGTAGTACAACAAAAGCCATGAACAGTGTATATATATGTGATATATATCCGGGAAATAGTACTCACTTTCTTCCTACGGAAAAAAAGTAATTTATAAAAAGTGACATTTTATAACCTGCTAACAGAGATCCCAGATAGCACACACTCGCCTAAGGTCATTCTCAATGTGTCGCCAAACGCCTGGAGAGGACGTTCTATTTTCTACAACCTAAGAACATCATCAGGCGTAAATTTAGCGCTGTAATTGTCCTAAATGAGTTCTTTCAGTGACAGCCTGAGGATGTAAAGAATTTCGTGCCTACGGACGTCTTCAGATGACATTCCATGAAATAACGTGTCATCGAAGACACAAGGAAGGAAAAGAAGAACAAGAATTGAGGTTATGTCTCATGATAGTCATGATTTGTTCAAGATACATCATAATATTAATGATTATATCAAAATTATTAGAGTATTCATTGAATACCTCCATCATGCATTCATCAAATTTCTATTTCACAAAATGATTGCGAGAAGAACTTATTGCACAGAATTAAAAGATAACAATAACAAAAGGATGATAATCTCTGTTGATGACATTTCTCTCAGGTAGCAAGAAACAAAGGTGAGTAAATACCAAATAGAATCATTGATAGTACCGGACATGAAATATTGATACATTCATATACATTATTCATTGTTTTAGGAGGTTATTGAGAACACAAACTTGATGATATCATCATAGCAAACATGTTTTATTCCAAGATATCTTTGCTTCTTCAGAATCTATAAAATATTGTATGGAAGCTTGAACATTCAGTATGAATTCAATAAAGGTAGGTACCTGAATCAAATCATTGATATAGTAGGTACTGGACATGAAATGTTAATAGGTTAATTATTTGTTTCAGATGAAGTTATTGAGACAACAAGATTGAGGATGTCATCAGAGCAAAAATGTTGCATTCCAAGATATTTTGGCTTCTTTGAAATCTATGATGAGATTGTATGCATGTTTGCACTTTCAGTATATTCAATAAAGGTAGGTACCTAAATCAAATCATTGCTCTAGTAGGTACCTACTGGAACATGAAATATTAATAGGTAATTTGTTTCAGGAGGTTATTGATAACACAAAATGATGATATCATTAGAGCAGAGATATTTTATTCCAAGATATTTTGGCTTCTTCGGAAATTATGAAAGATTGTACATAATGCAGACTTGAACTTTCAGTAGATTCAATAATGGTTGGTACCTTACTACATAAATCATATCATTGATAGTAAGTACTGGACATAAAATATTAATACATTGTTTGTTTCAGATAGTTTTGCTTCTTCAGAATCTATAAAATATTGCATGAAGGCTTCAACTTCCAGTTGATTCTGCATCAGGAATGTCCAGAATTCAGAAATCAAAAACAACATGGAGAAATATAACTACCAATAGGCAATAACTTCTAGTAGTGCTCAACAAGAAGCTGAAATACATTTCTTCAAAAAGGAAATTGAAATTTTTCAGAATAAGTTATAAATAATAGAATGTAAGTTTTTCATTTGGTTTTTCATTCGAACCTATTATAAATAGAAGGAAATTTTGCAAATATCATGAGATCCATATTATTTTGAAGAAATTATCATTTGCATAATACAAGGTGAGTCAATAGTGTGTTATCCATGTATATTAGCCAAACCATCAGATAAATAGAGAAAATTCAAGTACAAGAGTAATAGGGTTCCATGAGAACTTTCACATTCAATTGTTTTCATATCTGTATAGGGTGTTTGAATTCCAAGATATATTGACTGATGATTGTTTTTTTCCAAATGGGTCACCCTGTATACTATTGCATTTTTAGGTTCTCGCTGAAGAGCTGATTTCATCAATGCATCACACTTGGGGTCTAGCGGGAATGATTACAGAGATATAGGGTGTTCAAAAACAAGATTTTTCAATTTTAGGATATTTTTTGTGGAAACTATTCAATATTGGTCAAAACGGCTCACATTTCCTTATGAACTTTTGATTTACTATCTAATGACATTCAATCGGAACAAAAATAGAGGGTGGTTCAACATTCAGAATACTGATCAGCTTGAGCCGTTTTGACCATTAATGATTAGTTTCGACACAAAAAAATCCTACATTTGAAGAATCTCGATTGTCAACACCCTATATCTCTGTAATATTTCCCACTAGATACCAAGTGTGATGCATTGATGGAATCAACTCTTCAGGGAAAACTCAAAAATGCAATAATATACAAGGTGTTCTATTGAAAAAACAACAATCATCAACCGATATCTTGGAATTCGAACATCCTATAGATATGAAAACAACTTTAGGTGATTGTTCTTATGAAACCCTATTACTGTTGTACTTGAATTTTCATTTTATATATCTGACGATTTGGCTAATATCGGAGGAGAACACACTAGTGACTCATTCTGTATATGAATAATATTCTCCCATAAATCTTGAACCTCCTTGGAACATCATCAAAAACCGCCTCAAGTTGTTACTATGATGTCCTGAGGTTGTCTCGAAAGATTTTATAGGGATGTTCTGAGACGTTATTAGTATGTAGAGGATGGTAACAGGAGGACGTCTTTAGAATGTCCTCTGGCTCGCTCTCGACGTCCTGAGGACATTAGTATGAACGCCTCAGAAGGGCCTCAAAAGGAATTTGTGCTATCTGGGATGAAATGCCAAGCTTTTTTCCCGTTACAGAAAAAAAATTATTATGATCATGTACGAAATTAATTAGGCAAGTTGACTTCGCCCGTCACTTTGAAGTATCCGTCAACAATGAAATGATCAAAAATTAGCGACAAAACTTACAGAGAAGAGTCTTTAGATATCGTTAATAGTGAAAAATTACTGATTCTACCCAGGTAGCACATCATATTCGCGGAAACCTGATTTCATATTGGTCTGATATACATAGGTATATATTACATGTGAAGAATAATATAGGTTTAATTTGAAAGAATATTGGATATGCAATATTGGACTGATGGATTTGGTGAAATATTGGTCCAACCTGAACGAAATATGAATTATCAGCTACAATATTGAAGCGATATCGTTTGTGGAAGACCTCAATGATATAACGAGGAACATATCTATTCATTTTGTATATTTTCCTGGAAATGTCGCCTCAACATATCGTATGCATATTTTTTTCAACAATTATAACCAATATCGCAATTTCAACATTCTTCTCATGTACACTGAGGGAAAAAAATTGTAGCCGTTACTAAAAAATTACTAACTACAGAAATTATTTTCAGTACGATAGGGGACAGCAAGCATTAGTTGTTGCCATAACTAATTCTGTTTTTCTGGAAACGTCTATTTGCCTCAAATGAAAAGTTTAGTTGAGTCATCTACGACTTTGTTGTGGTAACTAATAAGTCTTTTCAAGGAATAATACCAAGTTTTATTTGCCACAATCAAGATACATAGTTATGACAATTAGATTGTTAGTACTGTTTCAATATATGTTTGTTATCACAACAAATTATCCCAGTTGGGGCAATTACTCATTTCTTCTGACGTTAATAGTGAGCGTGTTTTTGCAAATTAAATATTTAATTGTGACTGAAATGGAATCTAGTTACTATTAAAAGTGATTTAGTAACGTTTGAAATATAATTCAGGTATTCTGGCAACTTTTAATAGTTTTATAACAATTA